CTAGAACTCTCTAACCAGGAGATTATGACCTGAGCTGAAGTCAGATGCTTAACCTACTGAGCCAATCAGGTGCCCCTTAAATAAATTATCTTATTTGATATTCACTACTACACTGGGAAGAAAGCTGGGAAATGTGTTACTCTCACCACTTTGCAGGTGAAAGACAATGACAGCCCCCCAAACCCCCCCTGCCCACCCCCCGGCCCCGGCAGCCCGCCAGGTTGGGTTAGGGGTAGAGGTAGGAGTCAAGTCTCATGACTCTTGACTTTCAGGCTACTGTTCTGTTTTCTGTACATCTATTGTCTTTTGCAACCAAATAGCCTCACATTCTCCCTATATAGCATTGCTGCATGTCAGCTCTTACCTAGTGGTTTACACCTAGAAGAAACCAGAACTTCTGACTACTGGAGTCCAGCAGTGATTTGCCATTAAACTCCAAGGATTCATTTCCCTCTCTCAACCCATTTGTGCACAACCAGCTCTGAAATGAGCAAACATATTGGGAGTAGTGGAAGCAATAATAATTTTTAAATGCTCATTTTCTCCTCACCCTCCCAAATATGCTGATGGGAATCACAGGTTCAGTTTGCCAAATGTTGCAGGAAAGGGCAAGATTAATTTTAAGTCATAAGCTAACAGTTGAGTAGTGATGAAGGAAAATAAAACTCTTTATCTGTAAGACTCTCCATGTAGAACCCAAGGCTTATCCCCCTTCACCTTTCTCCTTTGCCTGAGTATAATTCACTTATTTTCAGATGCAATAACCTGAGGAATAAGGGGGTGTGGAGCAGGGTGAGGGATATGAGTGAAGCCAGAGGGCACTAAAAATGAGAAGGGAGGAACTCTGAATCCCTGTGAGGAGCACATGGTGTCTTTACAGGAGTAGGTCTCCGGCTAGGAGCAGAACTTTCCTTTCCCACCTGATGATCTTATGATAACCTAATGAAAGCGTTCATAAAGAAAAGACACAAGGCTGGAAGATGTTTTCCTTTAAGATTCTTCTTTGGTTGATAAATAAAAAAGTCATAAAGAAGGACAAATTCCTCAATATTTGGGGAGAAATATTTCTTCAAGTTCTTTTGCTTGGAAGCTGAATGGGAACAGTGGAAGAGGGTAATTTGTGGTGGAGGGACTCATGCTCAGAATGCTTTGAAGAAGCACTCAAACGAAGCATGCTTTGTCCTCTTGTTTCTTGGATCTGCCAAAACTAAAATATATCCCAGATCTCAGTTTAGCTGTGGTTTTAGCTCCAGACCTCTAGGCGTTTGGTACAACACACTTTGATGGTTGGGATTTAACCCTGAAATCAAGTTGTTATGTAATTTAACAATCCCTATCCCTGTGTATGTTGGTGGGCAATACCATTTTATTATTTTTTTAATGTTTATGTCAATACAACTTTTATGCTTTGTATTCAGTGTCTGTCGTAAGTCTTTCATTACTGTTCAGAAATCTGTGATATATGTACATATATATTCACTTTCAATAGTGAAAACAGTATAAGGTTTTCTAAGACCTCCAGGTGCTAGCTACCTAACGGACCTTCAGGCAAGAGACTGAAATGTTAAGAGAGCTGATTAGGGTCAGATGGAGTGGAGGACTACATTAAACAGATGGAAAACAAAAATAATCCAAAGAAAAATATGAATACTAGGGTAATTAGGCTGATTATACAGTAATGACAGTGGCTAAAATTTATTGGCTACAGATACCTGTGATGTAAGATCTGCAGCAAATCAAGAAAAGCATCCATACTGAATTCAGGTTAATGTCACCTTGGCTTTCTGGAGGAGGTTATGGTATTGTCAAGCTTTTCATACTTAAATGGATTGTAAAAACAGCAGAACCAGTCAGTAGGTGTCTGGGTTCCTCAAGTAACAGGTACGACATTGATGTTAGAGTTAAATCAGTTTTCCATTATTTGGGAATTTATTAAACTGGCATGAATTATTGTGAGATGTTAAATAAAAAAGGGACACCATTTGGGTTTAGATTATGCTGAAAAAATGCAAATCATGGGCTTTAGAATCAGAAGATGGGGCTTGGAGTTCAGGCTGTACCTGTCAGGCTGAGTTGCCTTGAGTGAGTCAGGTAGCCTCTCTAACATGAAAGTGTTCTCTGCATTAAAATGAATCTAATAACAATGGCTATTTTGAAACTCAAATAAGCTACCATATATGAATGCAGGTTATGAACTCTGCAGTGCTAGTTACTGTTTTTATTTTTTTCTAGTGCTGACACCAGGTTATGAATCAAAAGGGGAAACAAAACAACACACCCTATTCCATCTGGGGGACAAAATAGATGGTAGTGAATATTTCTTTAATATTTCTTTTACAATATTTTCCCCCTCTTACTTCATCTGGATCTTTGAAAAGCTTCATTTATTTGCTATTATGGCTTTACCCTCCAAAGTTCCTGTATTTGATGTTCTTTGGCCCTTACCCCCCTGTTAAGAACTGAGAAAAGCAATGATTGTTGTAGGCTTGACCACTCATAGCTTAAGGAAGCAAGTTATAGAAACAGACTATAGTCCCTGGGAACTTAAATTCCAGCAACTACAGGTGGGGGACCATGTTTTGGTTTTTTGTTTTGGTTTATTTTTTGTTTTTGCTTTGGTTTTCAGGATTTAATTTTTTTTTAAACCTTTTAAAGCAATGTGGTTTCTGCCTGCTCTTCCAACAGTACAATGGCTTGGACTTTTGTGGGTTGGGAAACCATTAGAAAACAAAAATAATGGATCTTGTACAATTCAACAAGCCCCTACATAGGAATTTCCCGACCACACAATCCTGTAGGATCATGTCTGTGTGCCAGAGACATGGGCTAACCCTCAGCTTTATTCATACCAAATAAATAGTCACTCAGTCACCAGTGTAAATGAAATAAAGATAACCATTGACACTACCATTGCCATTTTTGAAATGTGAATTCTGAAAGGAATATGGCAATTCAGTCACCAAAATGTGTTTGTGAAATAGCACAATGTCAACTCATCTCCCTCAATAGATACTAGATAAGAAACCAAGATGAATAACTTACAGGAGCCAAACTAAATATTGTTTTACATCCTTACCCTAAATAATATATTATTCACTAAGGTTTACTTGAAGACAAGGATCACTTTACGAAATGGAACACATACAATGCTTAACAAAGGTGTAAAGCTTATACTAAAGTACTTGTGAAATTATATTCCAGGACAGATTTAGAACTGCTTTTTGAAGAGGGTAGCTCTACTTTGGCCAGGTTCATTTAGAGAATTTTTCATTCTTAATAATAACCAGATGATTTCCTTTTGCTTGAATGTAAACCCAAAGATTTCTCAGGATAAGAAGTCATCTCTCCATGGGTTCTTCCTTCTACTGCTTTTTTGCAGTATTAGAAAGTTTTTCATGGTGGCATTTCAAGAAACTGAAGAAAGGCCTTATTTTGGCCTTATCTAGGCCTTTACTTCCATGTTCTGACTTTGCCAAAATGTAAGCACATTACTGGACTCTTTTTTCAGTCTCAAGTCTACTTGAATGCCTGTTCAAATATTCTTAGGTTACTCAGTCATCTCTGCTTGAGAGCAAAGGTGACCATCTTCAGTATATCCATGAAAAAGAGAGTATCCCAGGATTTCCTAGAGTATCTTAAGGGCCATAATTTGCACATAGGGTCACTTTTAAATCATTTACTAAAAGACATTCTATAGAGGTAAATTACAGAAAGGTTTCTCTCCATTGGCACTAGGGCTCATGGTCAGTGAACCAGTAGGCTGGATTTCAGTCCACACCTGCCCTGGCAAGGCACTTTTGTACAGTGCCCAAAACAGACTACCCTATAGGGCATCCCGGAGACATATTCATCTTTAACTGTTCCTACCACATTCATGCTGAGGCCACAGACATCTGAAAAGACACTGTAGGCATAATTGCTTCAGAAACAGAAATCTCTCCAATTTCTGCCTCCCAGGCTTCCTTCAAATATTCACTCTCTTCTAGTCTCTGTAGTTCTTTCTATCCCACTAAAATGAACCCAAGTTCTTCTCCCTCTCTACCCAGTGATTGTCAAACTTTTTTAAAACAATTTTTCTTAATTTTTTTTTTACTTTGAGAGAGAGACAGAGACAGAGACAGAGCACTGGTAGGGGAGGGGCAGGCAGAGAGGGAGACACAGAATCTGAAGCAGGATCCAGGCTCTGAGCTGTCAGCACAGAGCCTAACATGGGGCCCGAAATCACTAACCATGAGATCATGACCTGAGCCAAAGTCAGACGCTTAACCAACTGAGCCACCCAGGTGCCTTGATTCTCAAACTTTTTAATATGAGTCCCATCTACATGAGGCAAAAGGCTCCAGGATTCCCACACTCCTCCAGTCTTTCCTACTTTTCAAAGAATTCTCTGATAGCAACAAGCTGTTGCTGTGCAAACACAATTTGTTCAGACTCTGTGAATATCAATCTGCTTTAGCAATATTGGTATAGATGGTTTCTATGTGAACTGCAATCCATATAGGTGTTTATGTTGTGTTACAGAGAACTTACATATCATAAATTATGGTGATCTCTATAGATATCACTATCCTAACATAGGGCTAATCAAACAAAATAGATGATGATGAAGATAGAGAAGGGTAGTTTATAATTAAAAAGCAGGAATAATAACCACAGAAAAGAATAATCAACTCAATATAGCATTGATACTGATAACAAAACAATCTTCCCCAAAATTGAGGATCCTTCAACAATCTCCCCATGCATATTTATAGTGGGAATTTGCAAATATTGTCAAGTGTTGCCTGGCAGCCAGGTGAATACTTAGTTAAGCCCTCAGTAAACCCTAGTTATATGTTAAATTCTTAGCAATGAATACCAAATACTACCAACTCCTAACAATTTTGCAGATATTAGTAAATAGCCTTTGGACACACATACACACATACACACACATACACACACTGAAAACCTAGGGCATCAAAGGCCATTTGCTAGTAAGATCCAAAAAAAAGACTTACATTTGGGGATCAGTTTGTGGAACATGAGGAAAATGCTTGTGGTCTCCCAGTTGGCTAGAGTCCATACCTTCAAATCACTGCTTGGGTTTTTGACTCAGCTGCTTTTTGACTCAGCTGCTCAAGATGCTGGATCACTTGTTTCATACTCTACGGCTACAAGGACATCGTGACCTTGTGCCTTAACCAGCTCCCTGAATCCCCAAACCCCAGTCCCTCTCATTGGAGTCCCTCTCTGGAAAGGAGAATTAGATGTTACCCACTAACTGGGCAGACTCCCAGTTACCACCTTGTAGTATCTGTGATGGCATAATGGGAGCCCTTCAGTCAAACTTGGTAAAGGGAAGTCAAGAGACTTGGTCACAGGCCACCTCTGCCTTGGCAGCTGTTTGATAGCAGGCAAGTTACCTCACCTCTCAGCTTACACATCTCTTCTATGAAATGGAAATAATAATGCCAACATCACAGATTTCTTATGAAGGTCAAGGAGATAATGTAAGTGATAAAACATGGTATACTATATATTTTATTTAGAACAGCAGTATATGTTATTATTGTAGAAAGATAATGTTCATGCAAACATCTGGACTGTTCTATTTTCAAAGTATAACTAATATTAGGATACTATGATGTATAAGAATGACAAGCAATATAGACTGTCAGCCATGAAGGTCAAATGCAAGGATCTCACAGGCCCTAGAGACTGTTGAGAAACAGTGTAAATTCCTGATTCCATAATCCTGAAATGTGTTATAAGGAAAAGTACATGTCTCAGTGGTACTGAATCTCCCTCAGCGCTTTGTTCCCCCTTCTTCTGGTTTGGGGAGCAGGACTTTTAATTCAGAGTAATTCTGAACATCAGAAATGAAGGAATTTTTTGCTTTATCCCACTTGAGATTAGGCGCTTTTAAGAGGACAGCGGCTGAAGAATGCTAAGAATTCTTCCCTCCACCCAGTCAGGAATGTGTCCTGCTTGGGGCACTTAACAAGAATGTGAGGCCTGCCAGATAAGGCCCAGAGCTTGGCCATTGTGGGCTTGTTGCAGAAGGGGGGACGGGAGGAGCCTTCCTTCAGAACCAGACCTTCCTCAAGATCTCCCAGAGGTTGCTCTCTGGCTGACAGTAGAGACAAGAGCTGGTGTTGCAGAACTAACCTCTGCAGACAATGAGTGAAGAGGCAGCTCAGCTGGACATGTGAAACAAAGACACAACAGTGTTCTCAGCCTTTGGGGGAAGTACTCTCTTTGGAATCAACACAGATGTGGGCTTGACCGCAAGCTCTGCTTCCTACCAGTTAGCTGCATAACCTGAATTAGATACTGTGTGAACTTGGGTTTCCTCACCTATAAAATACAAATAATAATAGTGTCTGCCTATTATATTTGTGGGGAGGATTGAATAAAATGATGTGTATAAAACACTTAGCATAGCACCTGTCCACAAATTGGGGCTATAAAGCCTATTTTTATATACTAGTTTTTAAATAGCTTCAATATCCTGTATTTATTCAATGTTACATTATACAATGTGATTTCATAACTGTTACTTCTTTTTTCTTATTGGTCCCAGTAATATTTTTTATATTACAAAACAATTTTATTTGTCAGTTATATCTTAATAAAATTGGGGGAAAATATGTGTCTCCCGAGGAAAGTCCACAAACTACCTATGGAATATCTTTCTCCCCCATACTGACTCTGAATTTGATCAAGTATATAGATCTAAATGTCAGTTTATAATTACAACTTACAAGAAGTATATTTGAAACAATAGCATACAAATGCAATCAGTAAAATCTAGCCCATTTCTTCAGCAGATAAATTCCAAGGCAGATAAAGAAGAGAAAAAATCCTAGAGTGTGACTTCTTTTTAATTACATTAAGCAATAGTGTGAACTTGGATATCTTAGGGATGATTTGTAGATAGTCATCTTTTAGAACAAGTAATAGAATGTCAGATTTGACAGTTATCCTTGAGTTTTCTCTTAGCTCTTGTACACACCATATCCCTATCCCAATTTTTTAGTGAATTTCCAGGTGCAGTTGCCTCCCTCCTTCCCAGGCATACTGTATCCAGGCAGGCATCCAACCAGTATAGCTGCTCTTATCCAAGTTCCAATGGGAGCTTGGAAGAAGCCATTGTCAGAGGTCATAGAGAGGCTCAAAGTCTTCAGGGATTCTATCAGGTAGAGTTGTCCTTGAGGGGCCCCTGAGGTACCCAGAATGCCTACTCAATCCCCTTATGCTTGGGTCTCAAAGTTCAACCCGTGCTGGAGAAGCCCTGCCCTGCCCCATGCTCATATCAGGGTTTTCCTTTCTCACTGCTTTGCTTCTGCCAGCCTTTCTTCTCCTGGGGGCAGAGTGAAGGAAGTAAGACTGTTCTAGAACTTGCAGAACGATGTGGTTCTGCAAACTAACTGACTCTTGGTGTTCCTGATGCCTAGTGCTACTCCACTTTCCTGTAGCCCAAGTCATGTATCCTACAGCTACAGTGGATCTATTGTGTCCTTCTATAGATTTGATTGTGGATTTTTAGTCTCCTCCTGGTAAAGGGGGGAGGAGATTGACAGTTGACCCATTTCCTGAAGTCTCTGTGAATTTCCTGATAATTTTTTCTTCCCTAGGTTAGATCCTCTGTAATAATCAGCCCTGGACTCTGGAAATGGAGTCCTATGTCCAGCTGGGAGCAAGCTTACCTCTCCACTGACTATCTTATTGCTTCTGGGCTGGTTATACAATGCGACCCACCTCTAACTCCAGAATCTCAGAAAAAATTTCATCCTTTATTGATAGTAAATATTTTCTGGAAAAAACACGCAAGACCATTGCTTTTATCGAGCTTCTTAAATTCCTAAGCATATGACCTGAGACAAACTGGGACTACAGTTTTCTGAGTTGGCAGGAAGGCTAGTGAGCAAGAGACAATGGCATATGTGAGGGACTCAGGATGCGGTTTGGAGGAACTGTCCTATATGAGAGTTTAAACCTGGAGTAAGGGTTTAAAGCAGAGTCTCAATGATAGCAACCTCTGTTATGGTTATGGCATTAGTTGGTGTCAAGTAAGAGATACTCCGGGGTCTGACTAGACAAGGGTGAAAGGAGGATTGGCTACATGTGGCCAGGCTACAGAAGGCTCATTTATGGGAGCAGGATCCAGGCCCAGGGAGACTGGATGGCTGCAAAGAGATGGAAAACCAGAACTTCAGTCACTAGCTAAGGTTCAGAGCACAGTCAGGCATTCAATGACACCTTTAACATTTTCATAGCATCGGGCAAATGTGTGCCTGATGCTGAAAGCAGCCATGAGCACCAGCCTATATTTTTTCCCCAAACACCTTCTACTGGTGATTTGTCTGCTTTGTCTTCCATTCACGACCATGATACTGCTCCTTCTAAACTATTTACACAGTGTAACTGCCTTCAGCCTTGCCCGATACTACCTTTTACCTGGCTCTACCTTTTGCTTTTTGTCTCTGGATACAATGCTTATCCTAGGGATGTTCTATGTGTCCAAAATCCATTATTTTACCCTATGGTAATGCCCTATTTTACCTAATATTGTGCTCCTTCAGCCTTCCCTGTCTCACTGACCGGCACTACCAACCTCTGTTTTTTCAAGCTAAAAATCTGAAATTTATCATAAACTTCTTTCACCTCTCCATCTACCATACAGATATTTAACTATAGTGGCTATCCCATCCTTATTCCACAATAACTTTGCCTGTGGTAAACATCACCAGTGTTTACCAATATCGAATTCTTCTTTCCCTTCCGGGCATATAAGAGACATACTTCCCATCCCATTTTCAGTTAAGTGCAGCCATATCACTAGTATGGGACAATGAAACATGAATAAAAACTTGCATCTTATTTCTGGGCTAAGGTAGTAAAAAAAAAAAAAACTTTCTCAGTTCTCTTTACCTGAGGCATCTCTCTTCTGTTGTGTTGAATGCAGAGGTTTTATGTTGAGATAGTAGTGTCACCAAGTCAAAGAAGCCTGGCTAACTACATGACTGAGAAATAAGCTTTTGTGAAAAGCCACTGAGATGTGGGGATCATTTGTTGCGATAGCACAATCTACCATATCCTGACTAATACAATGAATGAAGCCTTCTGATTTTACCACCTCATATGCCCCTTCAGTCCGTTTGCTGCTTTAGCTCAGGACCTCAATATCTCCTACTAGAACTATTGGAAAAACTTTAAAAATGTCTCCCTGTCTCCAGGTTGTCATCCCTCAGACTCATTCTCCAAACAGATATCAGAGTGGTCTTTGTGTAACTCAAATTCAACCATGTATTTGGGCTACTCTGTTTCATTGGCTCCCCATCAGTGACATGATGAATAGGCTGGTGACATGACAGGTCTTGTCCCTAGCCAGCCTCATCTCCCATGTCTTTTCTCCCTACATTTTATTACCAGCAATACTTAAGTGTTTGTAATTTCCAGAATAAGCCATGCTTCTCTGCCTTCACTTACGTTATTCCATTTGTCCAAAACATCTTTTTTTTTTTTAATTTTTTTTTAATGTTTTATTTATTTCTAGGAGAGAGAGAGAGACAGCGTGAGCAGGGGAGGGTCAGAGAGAGAGGGAGTCACAGACTGAAACAGGCTCCAGGCTCTGAGCTGGCAGTCAGCACAGAGCCCGACGCGGGGCTCGAACCCACGATCCACGAGATCATGACCTAAGCGAAAGTCAGATGCTTAACCGACTAAGCCACCCAGGTGCCCCTGTCCAAAACATCTTTAAACAGCCTTCATTCTCTTATTTGCCTGGATAACTACTGATTCTTCAAGAGTAGTTTCTAACATCACCTTCGTGCAAAGGGCTGGAGGGAGATTCAGGACCACTGAGACATGTACTTTTCCTTATAACACATTTCAGGATTATGGAATCAGGAATTTACACTCTTTCTCAACAGTCTCTAGGGCCTGTGAGATCCTTGCATTTGACCTTCATGGCTGACAGTCTATATTGCTTGTCATTCTTATACATCACAGTATCCTAATATTAGTTATACTTTGAAAATAGAACAGTCCAGATGTTTGCATGAACATTATCTCTCTGCAATAATAACATATACTGCTGTTCTAAATAAAATATATAGTATACCATGTTTTATCACATTATCTCCTTGACCTTCATAAGAAATCTGTGATGTTGGTATTATTATTTCCATTTCATAGAAGAGATATGTAAGCTGAGAGGTGAGGTAACCTGCCTGCTG